GTCAGAGCCGGCTTGCATCTGCGATTACCACTCTTGAAGCAGTTACAGCTGCTGAAGGATACTGAACTCTCAGCACGCAGCTGCAAAATATTCCGAGCATAAGTGAGAATGTTTTATGTGACGCTAGTCCTCTGAGCACACAGCTCGCGCAAAAGCGCCTTGACGTGGCGAGCATTTATTGCTCCCGGGGAGCGCATTTTACGGAGCACAGATTGCTACCCATTGCAAAGGAACCTTCAAAGTTCAAACTGTGAAAAAGAAAAAAAAAAATCTGGGTTGCTGGCGTTCGGAACGCCGCTTCGCGGCTTCCGGGTCGCTTGACCGCCGGCGCCTCGGTGACGTACACGGGTAGGGAAAATGAGGGATTTTTTTATCATTATCTGGAGACAGTCGCCTCCTGGAACCCTCGCGATCGGCGTAACTTGAAAATTCAGTAACTTCACGAACAAATTTTATTTTTATAAAATATTTTGGCTGTCAGTTGAGAAAGGGTTATTGATGTGGTCTTCCGGTTTCCAGCCAAAATCACGACTATCAAAATATGGGCGGTGAACGCGGGGTCATGGCCATCTGAGTATCACGCCGCCGCCGCCGCCGAGAGTGCGTCATTAGCCGATGAGAACGCCGAAAAAGTAATCACGAAGTGAATTTGTGAACATAATGACTCACGTTCTGCGTTCATCAGCTTTCTAATAACCATATTTAAGGACTCGGCACTCTTCTAATACCTTCAGCAAATTAATTTAGCGAGGAACGTCGTATAATCGCTAATTAAACGCGAGGCTCCGAAAGCTCTCTGCACCGCGGACTTTTTTCTTCAGTGCGTAAGCATTTCGCTCGCTACCAATCAACTGCCAGTAGAAAACCACGTTCCGGCGTCAGTATCAGCACGCTCCGTGTCACGTGGCTTTTCACTGGCTCGTGATTGGGTCGACTACCCCGTAGCTTTGGCTGTAGATCATCGTAGGCGTAGGCGACGTGTCGTGTTTTTTTCTTAGTGATGTAGTTTGCGTCTGAGAAGGTTTGGCGCGAAAAATTAAAGCGTTTTCTTTTTTATTCAAAATTATGTTGAATCAGCGATTTTGTGGTAGAATTATTGTGTTTATTTTTTTGTCGCCTTAATCCGTGTCATTTCTTAAATGTGGACGTATTTTTATAGCTGAAGCTGCGTCAATTATAACTAATAAGTAGAGAAAAAAATTTGATTTAAAAATATGTCGCTCTTTTGAAGCGGACGTTTAATGTTTGAGCAAGAATATTTAAAATACGTTGTCAGCTCTTTGATAAACGATACCAAACTAGGAACGAAGAAGTAAACCATACTTTCGAAACAAATTTAACTTTTTTGAAGCGAAAATAAGATGGAGTACTCGGCTAACATTTGTTAGTTCAGAGCGACCCCCGCGTCGAGGTTAAGCTTCAATATTATGATTTACGTGTTGTTTTATATATCTCTAGATGGTATAACCTTTAAATTATTGAGCCTCTCGTATTCCCGTTGTGAATTTAGGCTGGGATTATAATTCCGATATTTTTTTTTTTGTACCCTTTTTCCCGTTGCTTATAAGACCAGTTCACTCCAAGTAATTTGCATACTCCATATTTTTTTTGCTCCTTAACCTCCTCATGTCGGTCCTCCGTACTAAAAGTGGCGCTTTTTATTCTTGTTTTTTTTTTCTTTACCATGCACGCATGTTATATTTTCTGCGATGCTTTCACTCCCCACCATGCCATGTTTTTTGTTTGTTTTGTGTTTTTGTTTTATTGTACGCATCTCAAACCATGCAAATCTTTGAGAAATCAGGGTGAATGTTGTTGCTTTTTTTCTTGCGCGGTTTTGTTTTGCTTTAAAATGGAAGACTTTCGATTCCGGCGCGAAGCACTTTATGCGCATAACGGATTTTGAACTAAAGTTTCTTTGGAGGCACACTAAAAAATCACTAATGGAGGATCTTCATTTTTTCTTAAATGTAGAGCAAATTTGATAGTTTCAATAAATGTCAAAGAGCTTTTTTTCAGGGCAGGATCTTAATCTGCGTTGTATGTAATCTTGAATCAGGCACTCTCACGAGAGTGAATAGACATACACACATGCACACATATAATATATGCAAAAGAGCACAAATACACACACAAGCACACGGATGCACGTACGCAGGCACACACACATTCTAAAAAGACACACGTACACGCACACATGCACGCATGCATTCACAAGCACGATCTCACACTCACAGGCACTCACGCTCACAAACTCGCGCGCATTCACACATTCAAGCACGACGACACCCCCGCCACCACATCCGCACACTGTGGGTGTGGTGGACGCAACGGCGCTCACACAAACAGAAAAGGGAATAATTTTGCGCCATAGTCTCTAAACCATCATTTCTCTTTGTCGCAGGGTGTAGATTATTATGTCTCCTAACCTGCTTGCCTGCATACTTTCGCTCCTTGTGATTTTACGCCTTTTGGATGTTTTTTAGCCTATAATCGCGGTCAGCTTTCTGTGGCATACGAGAAAAAAGGAAGAGAGCGCGTGCACAGCTTCAATAGCGCTGAAAGTGGGCGAGGGTATTATCGCCTATAGCTTTGGCTGCATTGCCACAGAAAGTTGACCGCGAGTATTGGCGACGTGAGCGATCGAAAGCGTCGCTGTGGTCGGCCCACCACAATTGGCCGAATGCTGACTATGACGTCAGCAAAGAATGTCTCATCGACGTAAATAAGAGAAATGTAAAAACTTCAACTTTGACGGTGTTGACTAGGGCTGGGCGTCGATTAAAAATTTCAACCCGATTAATCGCCTGCCTTTAATTGATTAATTAATCGATTAATCGGTCTCGTTCATTTCCATGTATAATGACATTGTTCAAAAGTAAAAATTGCATTTATTTTTTTATTTTTTTTTTCGCTGAATATGTGTTAAACGACGCAATAATTTCAATTATGAATCAACTTCGATATACAGTTGAGAACAGTTAAAAACACTCACACTCAAATAATATTACTTCAGCTCCATGAGGCAAAAATGTTCGTTGATATTCTTTGAAAACGGCGACCTCCTTTGATTGCTTCCAGTAGTCTTTGCTGCGCTAAATGGACACTCGCACGGCGTTGAAATCGCTGGGACATGTGTAACCTTCTGCACTTGTCCGAACTTACAAATTTCCCCCTTACAGTTTACCTTAAGTCAATATTTCACCTAAATTTTTCACTTCATATAGGTGTGCTTGTCCATTTCTGCAGAGTGAAAGCATTTCATTTTTATTTAATCTTGGTTCAAACTTTTACCGATTAACCGGTTAAACAAATTAATCGCGATTACAGCATTAATCGATTAATCGGTAGGTTAATCGATCAATTGCCCAGACCTAGTGTTGACAGTGTTGCTTTGAGAGTGCTATGATTTCAGGCTTCCATCATTCCCATTACAAACACCATCCAACTTGTTGTTCACAAGGCAATGACGTCACAAAAGGTAACCGAACGAGGGCGCCACCGAAACATCTCGCCGCTAATAGTAGATTTATATAGATATCTTTTCGGCACATAGAAGCCGTATTTTTACATCGGAGCTGTTAAGGGCTAGGTTACCCAGGATCGTGTCAACCAGCAAAGAAATGATGACACCGAACTCTGGACAGCTACCGCCATCTATGAGCGTCGGCGGCAAACAGACAACTGGTTGCCGCCGTCGCTCGTAGGTGGCGGCAGCCTTTCTTCGGAGCAAGAAGAGCGGGAGTGGAACGAGCGGCGATGTCCTCAGCAGCGCGAATGGTTCCGCAACCGATGCGAGGCCTCTATCGCCTAAAGTTTTACTGCGTCTAGTGCTTCTGATTCCCTCGCGAAAGAAGAGGAGATCGCTCGCCTGGAAATCCACCGCCGAGAACAGAAGCTACAGCTCAGCTGCTCTTCCTTGTTCACCAAAATAAAAAAGCTAGATTTTTTTTTTTTTTTTTGATTTGTGAATTAGTAGTATGAGATAACGGAGTAAAAACGCGCCTTTAAAAACTGAAATGCCTGATTTTTTTCTCTCTCGTCTTTTGTATTTGTGTTTCCAAAAGAGTCTGACTTTCGATTTCCCTACTTTCGGTTTACACTCTCTGATGCTTACTGCCAATGAAGTCAAGGAGAATGACATTCTAAAACCAAAAACGCATTAACGGCTTTAAAAATGACTTTTGGTCAAACTCGGGCATCGTCAGGTTACATAAGTTGTACCTTATTGAGACAACAGTCTTTTCACCTCCGCTCACTTTCGGTAATCACCAGCATTCATCTTTATCACCAGTTTTAGCAGCTGCCAGCGGCTGTAGAACCATCACAGACGGTATTGTCACCAGTACCACGATCGTTCTAATGGGCACAATTACCACGTATACACCTGTCTTGCTGTGATGCTAGCGTTACATCATTGTCGCGAACATCATCATTAAGTTTTATTCCATGCCCATAAACAAACAATGGGGACAGCTTCCATCCTGTCCTTACTTCTCCTAATCCTCGTCCTTTTGTGATGTTTCTTCTTTTTTTTTTTAACATAAAGGTCTATGATGTGGGACACGTCGATCTCTAAATCCGTGGTCGCACAGCTAATCCATAGATACCGTCCGCAGACACTGTGTGATGCCTGTTTCTTCCTTGCATGAATGTCCTGTCGCACTGGACATACAAACAAACTATTTGCGAAGATCTGCAAAGCTTACCTATGTACGAAGCAAAACAGGCTTCGGACATTTCTGAGGCGTGTCCGCGGATATTTTTGCCATCGTCTCTGCGGAGAAACTCCATATCGCTTGTGCAATATATGCGAGCCGTGTGGCTGCAGTTTTAGGCTATCGTAACACAGTGGAAAGAAAAGCAGTCTCGTAGAAACGTTCAGAATGAAGTTATGTGTGAGCTAAGCTCAGGATGTACGCCGTGCATCGTGTTTGGTTCCGACGACGATGCCATCTGGCCGCTGCCTGTATGTTGTCCTTGACCCCGTGCTCTCGCAGACCTACATTGGCCCCGTGCTGGTGTCGGTGAATCCGTTCAAGCAACTGCCTTACTTCACCGGCAAGCAGGTGGAGCAGTACCAAGGAGCGGTAAGTTTCTGTTTTTTTTTAATTTGTTTATTGAGTGCATTTTTCAGTGCCCAAAGAGCATTGTCGCAATGCGAGTGGATGGCCTGACCGTTTGTTATAAATTACATTCTTCTTATACGCAAAAAAGAAAGATATACGAGCATTAATAAGCTAGACAATAAGGAAGATACTTTAGATCAAGAAAACAGTTATTGACCAGTTGGTTTCGCCAACATTAACAGAAAGCAAGTCGAAAACGTAAAATAAAAAAAAAAAAAGAAACGAAGCAAGTGAAGTTAATCAAAATCTTTGGAAATAATTATGGTTTCGCGGAAAACAAAATCTCAGTTGCGATCGCTCAACTACTTTTCGTGTCTAAATTTAAGAGACCGAGCTATACGCAGTAGTCTTTTTGCAATGACTATAGTGCATGTACAATCATAATGCTCACGGGAATGGGCTCACGTTAAGGCGGTGCCAACTTACGCGTCGCCGTGTATCATTACTGTCTCGCGGTGAACGCGAAAAACCCAGTGTTAGCATTCGCACTCCACTGGCAAACGTTCTTCCCGACACTGCGAACCAGCATCAAGAGATCTCGAAAGCAGACCAACCCCACATTGTCTAATCTCTCACAACTAATTTGGTCGCGTGGTAGATTCACTACCGGATTTATTGACGTGTCGACTCCCGAGCATATCAATATTGCTCCTCACCCAATCAGGTTGCGACATTAGCCGATAGAAACGCGCAAGAACCAATCACGAAGATGCGGGAACACAATCAACAACACCCCCACTCTATTTCCTGAGCTTTGACTGTACGGCGTAGATAGCCGGTTCTGCTTCGCCGAGTCTTTCCGTCCTACCTACATGAACTCCATCCTACGCGAGCTGCAAAGCAAATTAAAGAAATTCATTAACGATACATCGCGGATGTCCGATGTTATTGTTTTATTATTATGCCGTACGCGTCGCCAGATTCGCTCAAACTTATAGCACCGAGAGACAACACCAACCCCTTTAGAAATTAAGTGTTGGCACGATTAGGGAAGCTATAGCTTTAACTAGGCCTTCTGTACCGAAAGCACGCGCACGACTTGGGAATTTCTCGTTTCTCTCTAGTCTGTTGCGGGTCTAAAGAAGGGGGACAAGCCCGTATCACGGAGCTCTCCGCTCGCCCTGATCGGTGGCTTCCTCCTCTCCATCGTTCGCTCTGCTAAAGGGGAAAGAGTTGAGAGCTTTGTGGGGAGGAGCTTGTGCCGCCGTTCTTAACCCGCGGCAGCCTACGGCCCTCAGAAACTCCGATCTCCCGCTGGCATTCACCGCCTCCCCTTTTCACGTCTTGTTATGCGGACGTCACAGATACGAAACTACGACCCACCCACAAAGAGGAATAAAAAGATAAAAGCTGGGGCCGAAAACGGAGTGGAAAGGTACACGCCATCCAACATAGCAGCTCCGTACAGCACGCACAAAGCGGTCCCCCCCCCCCCCCCCCAAAAAAAAAAAAAAAAAAAAAGAAAGAAAGAAAGAAAAAAAGCCCGTATTGAGAAGTTAGCACGCCACCTTTCCGTTTTTTTCTTCTTCTCTTTCTTCTTTTCCCTTCAAAAATGAAGGAAAGTACAGAAGGAGTTACGTGGCGTATATCTGCTACGCAAACCGAATGTTTGGAATAAGCAATTTCTATGTACTTATGTTTGTGTCTTTGTGAGTGTGTGTTTGTTTTTGTGTGTGCCTTGTTTCCGTCGCTGAAAGTTTTCGGGGGTGCAATCAGGGCACACACACTTGGAGGTGGCGGCGGAAATGTTAAGAAGGGGAGAGGGGGAAGAAGGGAAGGGCTTCCTCCATTATTCAGCGGACGAGGGTTTCTGTTGGGTCCTCGGACGCTACTCGGGCAGAAAAACCCTATTCGATTAGGAGGGGAAGGCGGTGTAGAGCTCCGCGCGGTTGCGTACACTGCAGGCTGCGCCGGGGTGTGCAGCGTACACTAGCACGCACGTACGTATGCGCTTCCATTGGAACATGCTCGGATGCATGTAGTTGACGTCGGGGCGACACAAGTGCGAACGACAACTGCTTTCTCTTTAGCGAAGAACGCGCACACGGACAGACTCACTCACATACACACTACAATAGGCGCCCTGTGACGCACACAGTCACATACGAACATTCACACACATAATCACACACACGCCCACACGCTTACACTAACATACACACATACAATCACACACACACGCTCACACACACACCCAAACTGTACACACTGACTCATACACACACACACACAGGTAGAGATACACACGCTCATACGCACTCAAACACAGAAACATACACACACAAAAACACTTACCTTCGCGCTTACACTTGCAGACATACGTATACAGTCTCCCACACGCTCTCAACCGCGTAGACAGACACTCACACATACTGGCACTCAAACACGCTCACACAAGCACACACTGCTCTCACACGAGCAGTCTAACGCTTTTGTGCACCCACACCCATTCACGCTCTTATACATGCGCATGCGAACGCCCACGCGCACACCCGTATACTCCTACGCGCGCCCGAACATACGGACGTTTCTTGCGATGTATAAACACACACCCTCGCGCAGCGACCTTCGCGCGCACGCGCACTACAAATGCAACATTTTCACGCGCACAGACTTCAAAGAATAGTCTAGATGTTTAATTGAACAATTAAAAATCATACTTTGCCCTGCAGTGAACTCTGTTTTCACGCCCGCACTTGCGTTGCACATCGACACATAAAGGCTATCAAAGTCACGTAACCTGACCACCTGCTTTGAACGAACCGTTCGCCCAAAATCGAGTAATTTTCTCAGCAGAAGAGTTTTCAATAAGGGCCCGTGTATACGTGCATACCTCTCCGCCTCGGTCATACCGAGGTTGGCCGTTTCAAAGTGTTAGCTTTAGATCCGAAACCTGCGCGAACCTTGCTTTCTCGTGTTGGGGTTGGTCGCGCCGCAGCAAGAGCCATGTGAAGGAGTGTCAGCGACGAAACACAGCTGTTGGTTTGACGTCACAGCACGCTCAACCAATGGTCTTGCGCGATTGGTTGAGTACCCAGGTAGCACGCCGGAGAAGCGCCTATCTTGGCCTAAGTTTGGCAGTCGTATAGGGGCCCAACTTGGTCCTAATACGGCCTTGCACCAAGGCGTTAGTTGGTGCGAGATTATTTGGTGTTTCGACGCCCTTTCTCAAGGTGCCAGGCATGAGCCAAAGATGCCACGTACGAACCGAAAAACCAGCATCGAAGCTTAGTTCTTGCAGTAGGTTGGCAATTTAGGCCCAAAGTTGCCACATGAGAACCAAACAACCATGAAGCCTAACTCTGGCACTTGCTTGGCGATTTGGGCCCCAGAGATGCCAGATGCCAGAAATTAATTCGGTTTCTTACAAAATTAAGGGGGAAAATTGACGTCACGTGAGCTTTGCATCAAGTCAGCTTCCCCGCTAAATGTAGCGGGGAACTCAGTAAAAATGAAGGTTCTTCACTCCCCGGGACTAATATTTAGTGTATTTTAAGCAAATGTAAACGCTCGCTCCCTAAATATTGCGTTTTATGCCTTATAGGAGTTCCGGCAATAAAGGTCAGTGTATACTTCTTCGATTCTCAATAGGGACTTCCACCAGATCATCTTCGCGTGTCCAATACGGCTCCAACCTCAGGCATCAACGCAATATTCGAAGAGGCAACGCAGGCGTCCGATATCGTTGGAAGGAAACACGATCTCCTAAAAATCCTCCGATGTGTCGGAAACATCGGCCGTTGATGCATTTTTAAGAGGCGGCATTTGCAAAAAGATGTAAAAAAAAGCATCAAAAAAATCTGGGAATGGAAAATATCTAATGTCATCGAATGCTTCAAATATCCTGCGGCGCGTTCGATATTGCTCTTAAGCGCGTTTTGCAATCGAGGAAAAGAAAAAGGGAAAAGAGGGGATAAAAACAAAACAAAAAACGACTAGAGAAAAAGTATGTAAAGTTCTGGCAGCCTTTTGTCGTCGTCAAGAGTTGCTCTGTTAGCAAATGACCCGGAATGAAGGGTGAAAGAGGAAACGGGAAAGGAAGACGGGAAGAAGGGAAAAAAAAAAGGAAAAGGCGCATTTTGTTGTGTTCATTCCGCCGTGAATTTCAGTGATAGCGTGAGAAGCGCGTGAGGGTTTCGTCACAGTAGAAACCTGGGGTTGCGTTACGTCAGGGCGGGGGTGGACCCGCAGTTGCTTTTAGCCGTACTTTGAGCAGGATTCCAGGGTAGGATAGCGATCGAATTCGGACGTTTGAGTCACGCCAAGCAACGGGAGTCACGATATATTGCGACTCCCGTTGCAGTCTGAATGCAGTCTCAGTTGTGACATTAAGGCTGCGGTCCCACGGCAGCCATCTTGAACAAGGCGTTAGTTCAACCAATAGATGGCGACACGCACCCGTGGGGTGGCCGAAACATTGGTTCACAGTGGGATGGCTCGAGCACCATCACGTTCCCCTCGTGGCCTTGCTCGCGCCGTTGCCAGCTGTGCTCAGCTAGCTCAAGTAGCGTGGCCCAGCAAACGGATGTATGCGAGAATGTCAGGCTGGGTATAAATTGTTGTCTGATATAGGGAGATGCGGTCGGCGGTTGTAACGTGCTTTCGCAATAAATCTTACCAAGAAGGAATCAAATGTTGATTGACGTGTCAATATTCTATCAATGAAAATTTCCTTTGCAAGAATGCACGCTCAGTAGACTCAACCAGTGGAAGCGGACCTCACCATTTTAATGACGACTAAAATAACGTCACAAAATATTGTGTTTCACGGGGTCCGGAAGATGTTGTAAAGGTTGTTACATTATAGTTCCCGGAAAACAAACGCCGTTGCAATATTTTCGGAAGTACCGACACACATTATGTTGTAAGTACAGCTTAGGGAAACCATCAGAAGAAATTGTGAAGACGTTTATTTGCAATGAAGACGCTATGAATGAACGGCGTTTAGCGACGGCAAGTTA